ATAATAAACAGTATGTGAAGGAGAGGATTGGACCCACAACAGATCCCTGAGGGACACCACAGACAGTTTGTATCCAACAATAATCAGGAGCAGAGATTTACCCTTCGCAGGCGGAAGGTAAAGCAAAGTGGAGCAGTGCTGGAGAAGCAAACCTGTTGCTCAAGAAAAATGAAAAGACACCCACAACAGCCACTAAACCAACACACTCATCACCCTGAGATGAGCCTCCTCAGCAGAATGAAAACTGTGGAACCACACTGAAACTCCACTTTAACCAGATTAAAACACCATTACAGCAGTTCCAGTAGCTGCTGGGTTTTTTTTTATTACACAATCCTTTAACCCTGTAACGTCCAGCTCTCAATTTTGATTCAGCTGCAAGTTTGTTAAAAGTGTCTTGTGCTTAATTTTATGCACATATAAAACATATGAGGAATATGATTTCAACCTTCAATGGGTGTATATCATACAAGCCTCCACAGTACATACTATACCTCAATACAAATATATGTTTGTACTTATACTCTTACCCTGTCCGTCTCTCTTGTATATTTTCCAGTTAACTACTCAAACCTCTATAACTTGATGATATTTCATTTGTTATTCTGTTTCTTTCTATGATATAGTGTTAGTTACTTCTCTCTATTAAAGACAAAGAAATAAAACATAGCCTCCATAATCAGAATGGCAGTACATTACTAAAGTACTTGCTTAGCTTACTTGCTAACGATGGTGTAGTCAGTTTTTACCATTTGTGTTTTTGATGGTTTCCTATAGAAACAGATGACAGGGAGGTTTGTGGATTTTAAAGGGTTTTTAGGGAAATGGTTTGTGGAAAGATGTGTCTCACTTTTGTGTTTTGGAGAAGAAACATGTCTCAGAGGCAGATTTCCCCCAAACTTCTGCAAATAAACCTACAACTATATGTGCATGGCTCAATATCATTGGCGTTGACTAACTGCTCATTTAAATAGAAGTCAATCACTTCACATTCATTAATCAGAGCCAGGAGCAGCATGTTAAGGAAAGGTGTGCAGTGGGTTTCAGTGGAAGAGGGACAAAGTGTCTTATCTCTGCTGACAGCCAACAGCTTGATTTTAGCCATGGCGAGGCTTGGAATAGAAAAGCATTGACCAAAAAAAGAAGCAAAAAATAAAACCTAATCCCTGGGGATTACTCGGATTTACTGCCATTCTTACCCACTCACAGCACCTTAACCACACCCCAGTGAAACGGATGAGGAGGGTTTACAGGGTAAAGATGGATGAGAGTGCAGGGAAAGAAGATAATTGCGGACACGGTGGCTGGGAGCGACAGAAAGTGGTGGAGCCGGTGAGGGGAAAGGTGAGCAGAGAGAGTGACATGGGGTGGGGTGGGGTAGGCGATATGGCCAAAACTACATCACTCAATATCGATAATTATCACAATGTTTGTTTCTTTTAAATTGGCTGATTTATGCTCCTGAGTGAAGGTTGTGGTTTTAAACTCTGAGAATGACAAACAGTTTATTAACAGCAAAACATTTTACATATCTGAGGTGGATCAACTTTGTGTCAAATGTGTTGCAGTGGTGGGATTTCCCAGATTGGGATCAATGAAGTACATCCATCCATCCAAATCTCCTCAGTGTGCTTGCACAGTGCATCTGCAATATATCAGTAGATTTAGTGAACTTTTGTTATATTGCTATTGACGTAAATTATACTGAGATAAATCTTGATATAGTTTTATTGCCCAGCTCTGGATGCTGGGACAAGGTCCACACAGAATAACACAAGTTTCATGCCATGCACTTGTGCAGTCATCACACTTCATGAGGCCTGCTCATGAGTGGATCCTCAGTGATGCAGCCCCTTACCTCTCTTGATGGGGGTGTCAGTGGGGGGCACGTCGGGATCCTCATATTCCATTACTCTCCTGTGGAAACACTGCAGGGCCCTGCACACACACACACACACACACACACACACACACACACACACACACA